TGCTAAATGAAAAAGCATTTCGGAAGATTTCATTACTCTGTTTAAATCTACTACCGATAACACGGGGGCTTTATTAAGGAAATCGCTATTCTATACAATGAAGTGTGGTAACATAAATTAAATTCTTGCTAAGTTTTCTGGCGTACAGTTAACAAAATTTCATTTATATGCTCTATTCATTGGTGTATCTGTTCATCAGCTGATCGTTACCGGTACACTTCTAAATTACAATTGATTAAAACTAGTAGCCTAAATTTGTCCGGAACATTTCATCAAATTATACCACATCAAATTGTTGACTAATAATTTCCGGTCAATAATCCCCAAACTGTACTCAATATGCCCTTCTGTTTTTGAGTGCGTCTCAAGGAGGGAAGAAAGCCGTCCGGCGTACAACTGGCTACGAATAAAATTACGAGCAAATTTCTACGTCACACTGTCGAGGAAGATACGGATTTGACAAAAGGACTCTTTATAATAAAGTATAATAAATGCGACGATAGTTGATGTGCCACCCTTAAAAATTAGTGAGTTTCCCAAGTTTTGAAAATAAAGTGCAAACATTAGTCAGTGTTTTGTTCACAAACCATTTTTGATGTCGAAATGAATAGTACGCATTTGAGTGATGAGTTGGTTACATAGCTGACGGAATTGCTTGAAAACAAATGATAAGTCGAAAAACGCCTCGTCAAAACAGAAGTAACTGGACCCTGGCAAAACATTTGTGCTTGGTCAACAAATGATCGCGCTCTTAGCAACACGAGTTGGAAAATTTGTAAGTTGAGAACCTTTTAGTACCATGACATGAAGCCAAAGTTATGCATGAGCACCAGGTCTTAAAGTACCGCAAACCACTGACGGTCCAAGTATTTCAGTTGTTTGGACTCAGTGCGCCTTGGTGAGATAACCTGAGGTAAGTTACCGCTTCCATGCTCACAGTCTGCATTCAGTAATGGTTTCGAGTAGTTCATTCTTGTTGTGTGTGTGGAGTCCACGTCGTACATTTCTGCTTCAGATTTTCTACTTCAAACGCTGAGCCAAATGAAAACTCTAATGAGTCAAAGTACATTTTAGTGTCTGTTACGTTTCTATTGGAGAGTAGACAAATAGAAATTCTTAGGGACGTGGAAGGTTGACGGTTCGTGGTTGGTCCATTTAGAGCCAAAACACAACCACCTGAGGGGATCAACCATTGTTGGCGTGCAAAATATTTTAGCAATATAGCCTTCTGCGTAAGAAACCTAAGTTTCTTTGTTCCGTAGGGTGGTTCATGCAAATGAAATTGACTTTCACCAAAGAACTATAATAAACCAATCGCTGGGTTTTGACTCCCCAAGAGGCGCAATTCATTGAATGTCAGCCGCGTCCAATAATATGCCAAAGCTAGTAGCACTAAGAAGGATTCCCCCTGGCGATGAAGGATGCTTCACCGCAACATACACATGTAATGCTATTTTCATTAAAGGCCTAAAGGTAACTTTACAATGCATTTGGTTGATATCCAGGAGTCCTGGCTTGCTGCGAGGATGACATTCAGGAGCGCTGTATCTTGTCTGGTTGTAGGTTAAGCGCGGCCGTGGCCATCTGTTCATAGCCGGATAGTATACACTCCATTTATGGTTCAAAGTGCCTGAATTCCTCGATGTACACCATGTAGGGTTCCCAACGAAAACCACTAAACTTTAAAGGATTCCTCGGCTTTTGTGATTGCACTGAAGGAATGAGAATGGATTAAAATGTGACAAAAATTTAAAGTTTAATTCTCGACGTACGTACGCGCCCTGCGGAATCATGCAAAGTGATTTGAATACGTATCTTTAGTAAGGTTGTGTTGAGAAGACGAATTCTGATCCGTTAAAAGCGAACATCAAACATTTTTCAAAATATTTTCCAAACGATTGCAAACATCAAACACTTATTTTGAAGTGTACCCATTCTATACCTAAACAGTAGGTTGTATCGCTAATCGTACGGGATTATGAACTCTGGTATGGAAACTAAAACAGTATTAATTTTGCGTGCTCCAAGGACTTTGATAACGGAGGCTTTAATTGACATTGAATCAAAAAGAACGGGAGATTGCAGAAAGCAACTAAATACAAATGAACTGGTTCGTAATGCTCGTCACTCCAACTTTATGCTAAATTTTTTGTCAGTTTACAAAGTGGCCAGTGGAACAACATCTAGTGAATGATCTTTGGACGAAGGTTGTAGTGTGCCCTACACTCTGTCATCTAAGGGTAACCAACCCTATTTGTGAGGCTCCCATGAATTAAAGACCTGGTCCACGTTATGGAAGCTAATCGAAAATGTTCCGCAAATAATATGTAATCTGCTACAAACATGCTAACAATATATAGTATTTCAGCGGTGATCTAAACTCAGCTAATAAATTATTCTCGCTGTGTTGTTCAGCGAAGATAAATGACCGATGAAGTATCATTGAGTTTGTGTGTGAGTATATATGCTCCAGTTAACGTTAGCAGTTGTGTCATTGGTATAATCTACTTGATGTACAAAACTAACGTTTGTGTGAGCAGTCACCACAACCTGTGTATCTGAGGTTGTGATCTAAGTGCACACAAAGGGAGGAGATCTTCAAGCTCTCCCTGATGGTGATGTGACCTGCGTATGTGAACGTTTCACAGCGCTGCCGCAAGAGATTGGGCGGGGGACTGAGAATTGAGAGCTTGTAAACAGGTTGCTCGCCTGCGTTAGTGCCATAAATTTGATCAGGTATGGAGAAATTTACACAGATAACATGAAGTTGGCGTGCACATTAATCCGTCTTACTTGTTTAATCAAGGAAACACCACTTTGGTTGCTTTGCGCGCAAAGAAACGAGAATTGTTATGGTGTGTAACACTGTTCACATTATCTTATCAAAATTAACATGTGTAACTTACACCACATTTTTATGCAAGTTCAGAAGGCCATATTTCTTCTCTGCCTGTCCCTTTTACTCATTCCTATTGCCATTATAGAGAACGTTTTGTAAATCGATAGAATTTCTACTGATGTAACAACGAAAGTAAAAGTTTTGTTGAGCACAACGTAAACCAGTGTTGTCAGTCGTCTTTTCGAGATGTTTGACGGTAGGTATAAAGCAATCAGCACCAGGATTTGTGAGATATGTGGCCAAATATTCGTGTTTGTTGCATCTTCTTCCTGCGAACATGTGATGATATATTTGTATACGATCCGGTGAACAACTACGAAGTATACCATCCACTTTTTGCGAACGATTGATACCCGATGCAGTCAGGAGTCACTCACTTTCTCCTCTTAGAGAAAAGCTTACTAGGTGCGTAAACTAAACGAAGTCAGAGTATCTCTAATCAGCCACCTGATGCCTGGTCTGAACCAAGAAAAACCTAAATGTTTCTTTTGAAATTGTTCTGTATTATTGGTTGGTCCGGATTATTAATATTTAGAAATGGACCCCTCTCCTGTTTTATGGAAACGAATAAATAGGGTAATTTTATTGCGGCTTATTGAATTGGAGATTGCCTCGTATTTCCCAATATAATTCCTATGATATTTGGTCTCAATCAGTCCTCCGTTTATTGCTAGCTGGTTTAAGGCTTGCAAATACGCCGTCAGTGAAAAAGGTTCTTTAACCTTACATCTCCAATGCAAACTATGCCAGTGGAAGAAACAGCGTCCCAAGACAAAAACGAATTACAACAGAAGACAAATGAATTACAACAGATTAAAATTGATCTTGAGTTGCTTTATAATTCGCTAAGAAAAACTTGTGAACAAAATCTGTTGCTGTCGACAAAATCAATAAATCCGTGTTCCGAGTACACTCTGCTTGGTCTCTTTCTGTTCACAAGAGACCTTCATTGGTTTCCGAACTACCAAGAATATCCGTCCTTACTTCATGCAGAAGTCACAACTGTCACCACCCCGAGGTCTTTCTTTCAAGTTAAAGTGAATTGAATTGGCATCCAAGACCAGTTCAAGCCACTGATTTGGTTGGTGGGGATTCACTTGCAAGTGGTCTGATAAACGGTCTTTAGTTGCAGAGGGTAATAGTTATGTCGATTTTTAGTTCCATTTGCCGTATTTCTGACTAGTCGGCCACATTCACGTCCACTAAGAAAAGTATAATGCCCTTCCGTTCGTTTGCAGAAACTGAATCTTAACTTGACGCCCTCCGGAAAAAATTGTTTTGAGCATATGAATAAGATAAAGCAACATACGAAAAATGACTTGGAGAAAGAGCGAAGAGCATACGTTCACGGCAAATATTATTGATCACATTTCAGATATGCCTGTACATGTGTAGTGGAGCTACCTTGACAGACAGATCAATAATTTATGGTTACGTCTGAACGGCATGAGGGAGGACGGCTGTGACTTCGGTTTCTGAGTCTGGTATCATTAGTTGTTTCTGTTGCAGCATGCTCAGCAATGTTTGTCAATTAGTGTTGTTTTACGAGGTTACCAGGAAATATGGCATCTGCTTAATTCCGGGTTTTACTTTAACTGAATAGAATTACAAACAATAGTGACAAAAAGAGAGTATATGTGGGTGGTTTGTTGTGTCATATTGGGTGGCCTAAAGGCAAATCACTTAATATATCGATAGAAAAAAATCTACTTTCTCTGATTTTTTCCCATAAAATCCGACGACAGTAATAGTGTTGGACGAAAAGTGTGTATTTCTCAAGAACTAGGCAAATGCAAAGGCGGTCGGACTACTCTGTCAAGCTTCTTTTGGTCTAATAATCAGCCAGATATTTTCATGAGCTTTCAGGATTTAAGAAAATCTCTTGTTTGGACCAAGTAAAAGCTAATCATAGAAATTTAACATCCGACACCCTAATTTGGGTTTTCTCGGTTAATAAGAACATTTCGATAAAAATAGCGAAATTATCCCAGACAGCCACGAGAAAGTGCAATTGAATTTGATTCTGCGTAAACGTTCTCTAAGTTTACACCTCTAAATACGTTTTATTGTGCAATGTCGCCCGTCATTCCGTTATTTCCAGTCCCCAAACTTTGGCCTGGATGTTCACATTGAACTAGTTAACGTGCGTCTACTACCGGAATACGAAGACGTGGCGTACAAACACAGCGACAATGGAATCGTGCTGGACACATCAAGGCGATCGAACATGCATCACTGGCGAGCACCGTTGCAGGAAGTCCTGAATAACTGGTGTCGGTACGTTGAGTCAGTTTATATGTGTTTGCGTACTTCATTTCCTCGAGTAGCTGGCGGTTTTTATTTGGCATTGTTTGTTACGTGTCCCTTAAGATTCACTCTGAAAAGGCTCGGCCTATTATGAGATATGAAGCACAACGCATTTAGAGATGTCTGCCAGACAAAATCCTGAGGAGCAATATATTCGCGACTTCTCTCCAGTAAAATGCAGCCCAGCAGCAGAGATCCTGTGTACTGAATTCCCAAGGAATCTTTTTTGAGCACGGAAACCTCTCAACTTTGCCCTGATTTGTGCTGCGAAATAAAAATAGCCACGTTAACCCAGAGGACACATGAAAGCTGATTCGCGAAATTTCCTACTTTTCAATCTAATTAGGCTTTACTACTTCACCGCAGGGTATATCTTTTAAAGGTGTTACACATATCTCCAAGTTCTGGGCCAGTAATCATGGCAGCTGAAGCATTTCTCTTTAAAAAGGCAGCCCTACTGAGCTTTCGCTTTCAAAAGATTCTGATGCACAGTGCACAAAGATTACAGTTAAATAAAATTCGGTTGAGTGAGAAAGTAAGCACTTGTAGATTTGATGAGGATGACTTAGCAGGATTGACATCTGACAGTATGTACGAATCAGTTAGCCTTGTTAGCAAGAAACACGGCTTGCCTGCAGCCTATGGACCAGCATATTGCAGTCTTTTCAAAAGTTTGATCCTTTTGGAAAACGCCCGAACCATTCTTGTTTTTAGACCCGGATACACTGTATCTACTTGACCCTGGGAGCAAGTGGTTAAAGTGGCGTTTTATACAGATCTTGGGATCCAAATACCTACTCAGGCGGCTTAAGTAAAATTAAAAAGCTGCTCGTTCGGAACGCAGCCGCTTCACTGCAAATTACTACAGCCTGTAAGGTGCTCGAGAGGATAGCTTTCTCATCTTATATGGAATAGTACCCTACCCCGTTTTGAACGGTTTGGCGTTAAAATTATACCTAAACACAACCTACATAGCCAGGTCTGCCGTCTATGATAGGTGGGTATCCATCTTGCTATTCTATCCAAATTATTGGTATTATGATTGGTGCAAAACTTGCATCACTTAGATACTATACAACCCAAACATTGTCAGTCAACCACTTGACTTCAGACACCATCATGTCACTTCAATCGATGAAGTATTTTGACAAAAACATCTGCTTTTTTCTCCTTTGCTTGTTTCCCCCACTTTGCTTCCAAGAGTTTTTATCTGACCAGCTAAATAGTTGACATGAACCAGTTAAAATAAAGGCAAAACCATTAGGAGCTAAAACAAAGTAAACCTGTAATCAGCAAATGTTCAATTAAATCACGGATATACTGAGACTGAGAAGAAAGGATGAGAGAGTATACCACTCCTGCATGGCGGTAGTCAGGTGAACAATTCACAACGTGTTTTGGACTGTAAGTTTGTTTTCTCTCGAAAGTGAACTAAACAATACATCCTTTTACCTTTATTTTCAGACATCCACTTCCTATCCAATATTATCTAACGATGCATCCCTATCTGGATCGACATACTACGGCTAGGAGACAAACATGTATCAGTCCTATGGCTACCGCCTACAATCACATCAAACCACCCTTGTGTCCTCCCAACGTACCGCACAAAAGCACGTATTTCCATCGCTCCATCAACGGGCAGTGTACGCAAAATGTACGTTTACCCCACTGTTTGCTTAGAGAGATCAAGAATGTCTTTTCATTTTCCTACTACTGTTCTTCTGCTGGTGCACTAAACCTTGAGCTGCACACTTTTTTATCAGTGTTTGTATGTCCTTGACGACTTTGCAAGATAGCAGATACTAGTAATTTGTCGACCACTGTTTGCTTTGCCTGTTACGAAATAAGCTAACAAATATGACATCTGAACCATATCAGTACAACGTGTAAGCCTAAAACTTACCATAATCTGTAGGAAAATAAACCGGTAAAACATTGATCGTGTGCGTTTAGGAAGGCTTTGCAAAAATTTGCACTGAACGGTTTGGAATGTTGAAAACGACGTTTCATGGTTAATTAGGCATGGCATTCCTTCCTGGGTGGCAAAGCATTTCAGAGTAATCGGTAGTACTTACGAAAACAAGTTAATGACCATGTTCTGTGTATTCCGAATGCACACAGCCCAAATATGCGTTAAATATTAGCTGCTCGTGAAGTAATATTATGCTTTTCGTTCTATATATCTGTTCTACTCTCTGGTTGTTTTTTCTGTAAAAATACACTGTGAAAAAGTTTATATCAACCCGTGAAAAAATTGCATCAATGTAACCAACGCTGATCTGACAACAACTACATCGTGATTATGCCTTCAGTGAGACAGAAGTTACTCAAATTAACACACTTTTTGACCGTAGCTTCATGTCAGCTGCCTTAACCTTGAGATTTTGGCACATGAAAATTTCGTTGATTTATTTAAGTCAAACAGCCAATGCAGTCAGGCTTGATGATCGGACAACTTGAAGTGTTTTTGACTCAAACAACTTTTTCTGATTTACTGATAACTTACAAAGTGCTAAGAATTTACTGTTTGGCTAGATGTACACTTTGTAAAGTACGACGCAATTAGTTTAATTTAGCATAAATTATTGACAGATTTTGCTTTCAATTCTGGAAAGTTAGCAAGCGTTCTATGAGCGTTCGGTTAAGACGCTTTTTCGCCCCTAGTAATTTGCTGACTGCACCGTCCTTGTCAAATAAAAACCAAGTGTTTATATTGTACAGTGATACCGTAAGAAGTTTCCATGCTACCTAATATTTTACGAAAGTTGAGCGTACTTCCATTTGAAATGGATTTTTTTACGCGAGGGATTTAATAATATAACCACCAACATCCGAAGAATGAGTATTCCTGTACAGGTTGTGAGTTACAATGTGATCTAATACAATGTTGGTAAGAAAGTTGCCTAGATCAACATGCTCTACCCAGCAGAGTGAAAAAAAACAAGTGTAACACTTGTTTAGGAACACCGTTCGTACAGATGACCGCGATCCATAATTTCATTGTACGTACACTCTTTAATATGAATGTCAATTTAATGCCGAAGATTCATCTCGTTAAACAGTGCTGTGCGACGGCAAACCAAGCTACCTATTCTGAACTAACCTTACTGTTTGGGTTGAGTTTGGAAATTCCTGAAGATTGATGAGCATCATCAGTAAGGTATGCCATTCTGATGACATCCACGATGTTGGTGAGTTGCATTATGCCGCCGCAGTCACCAACGATACTAATGTCACAATGGTTTCAACTGCCCTACGTTTTGGTCCACAGTGCTCGTTATCAACTAAGTAGATGACTGACACAGTGGGATAGCAGAAAAAGCCAACAAACGGTGATACTGGGCAACACGCTCCAATGAACGGATGTAAAGAATGACAAGTTCCTAACGCAGATGTTTATCACCTATGTAACAAACTGACCCGGATAACCCCGGAATTCCCAACATTTTCCACGACGTTCGACATAACGTTACAGACGATCGATGGTCAACAAAGTAATCTGTAACACCTATCCATATCCTGAGGATATATTCCACCAAGTTCATCATTCTAGTTACTTTTGTGGCAGCTGAAAACCGGAGCAATTATTCCATGCCAGAAAGAGCTAATTATGGGTTAATTTTGTTAACAAGCATATTCACTTTTTAGAAGACTCAAATGAGTTCTTGTTGTTCGTTTCACGTGTGTATTAAAAAGACGCTGTTGCGAGCTGATTCCAGCTGTCTTGAATAGCGCAGCCATAAATCTTCATAGCCATTGGTAATGCAGCAAGTAGCGGAACCAAATGTAATGAACAAATAATGGTAGGGATTGTGACACTACTAATACGTATCGGATGACAGAAAAAGATACAATTGGGGAGGTGATCATGTCCTGATGGTGACTTGTTCTCAGACACTAAAGCTCCAGCTGATGCAACCTTCTACACTGCAAGGACATTGGGAGTATGATGGAAATATCAAACATTAAATGTTGTCCTTTGTGAAGTCAATCAAATCACTAATGGTTTTTAATATCCGTGGAAACTTGTCAAACCCACCATGACATCTCTTCACTTGAGTGGTATTCTCGTCATACCCGTCCCACTATAATTTATCTCTGGCTCACCTAAAAAGCATACTACATTTCCACCATTATTAAATCTCGATAGCTGTGCATACCCTTCGTTTTGCTGTGAACGGATCTCTAGACATCTGACTTGTCAGGTAGGTGTGTCGAATGTACTTACTGGCGCATGCAAGACGCCCTTGAACAAATGAGCCCTTAAATGATCTTTGCTTGATATTTGATGAATAAATTTGCGTCACCTTGGACGACGTACACGAAAGCGGAACACAGAAAGTGCACTGTCCGTTTGGCCCTGTGGGACAAATTTGAGAAACTACAACTAAAACAAACATCAACTTTTCTAGATTATTTACTTGAAACTCATTCAAATTAGCTTAATCTCAAGATGAGCCTACCGATCTGGTGGGTGGACTGACTCTTCAGATACAAGTAGCGGCTGAATTTACTTGCACTCAGTGGGATAAGTTATGAAGAAAACTGTTTGCCTTGTTGCGGTAAGATTATGGGCAGTAGCAAAAAGGACATTAATCGAAGCCGGATTGCACATTTTCCGCCTGCTTTTTTCAGAACAAAGCGGAAAATGTGTGATCATGAGTGTCAAACTTGGAATCAGTCTGTCGTTTCTCTGTCTCTCAGTTTCTCATCTTCACTTGGGACGTCTGACCAGTCGAAGACAGTGAACTTTTCACAGACACACAGCGCCGCCACAAAGCGTAACAACACACCTCTGTCACCTCGAACAAATCCTCAGGTACCTGTCAAACCTGGGCAACCAGCATTCCAGTTAAAAGGATGCAGAAAAGGCAGAAAAATCATTCTGTCTTCACGAATCTCTTTTGTTTTATCAACGCTGTTCAAATGTGGGGGGAAAGTTGATAAAATGTGCGTGTTATTTAAAAGCTAAACAATGAAAATATCTCAGTCCTACAGCGTACGTTCCGATATTTCTCTGGGACCTCCATGTATTTCTGAACAGGGTAAGAACGCTGAGTTACCTTTTAAAAACCGTGCGAACAAGTGCTTTAAGATTTCGTAGACACACGAAATAAAAAGATAAAGTTCTTTGGATTCCCACCGTGTTTGCACTTGGAACCGTACTTAGTAAATGCAGCAGTGTAGACGTTCAGGTGGTTGGCTGCAACAGAAGGGATATGTATGAGAAATACGTTAATCATAGGCCCACAAGCACTTTTTCTTTAGTTGAGACTTATCGAATTTGCAGTCCCCGAAATTCATCTTCAGAAACGCCTTTTTTTCAATGACTCAACTGAATGGTGGTTAATCTCTTATTTTTTATCTTTACTTTATGGGCCACATAAATGCTACCGAAGGATTCACCTCGGCTTCAACTAAATCGCTCGTTAATCCAAATTTGTTTGGAAATGAGTGCATTTCGTGAATTGCACTGCTTATGCTTTTGATAAAACCAGGCGTTACGCACATTACGTTTTGAATTCCAAAATGGTGGTCTTATATCAAGTACAGACGATCCATACCCTAATGAGACCACAAGAAAATATTCCGCTGCATCATTTATTTTTTGTCCCACTTTTTCGTCCACCAAAATTGCACAAATGAGTTTATATTGTCGAACTGTACAAAATATGAGTGAGCCACCTGCCTTAGCCTTCAAATTGTCACTTTATTAACCACTGTAGCATGCCAAGTGAACCCTCGTGCTTAATAGTCTGTTTTTCTGCCGCAAAGTCAGATTACTCACCATATTTTCACAAATACTAATAAGTACGGCTGAATTATCAGACAGAGGGCTGAGTTGCAAGTGAGCGTTGCAGTTAACTCGTACTGTAACGTATTCTTGAAGTTGGTTGGAATGACTAAACTAACCATGTTTAACCACCCTGTCCAAAATACATCTGGGAATTCCTTGTAATAAACACAAGCCATAAAACTCTTCGTGGTTATGCTGATTCCGCTTGTCCACTCCAACTTTTTATTGGTTAGGCGAACCGGAATCAACCAACAAACGCAAATTTGGCGCTAAAATAAGAATTTACTACCTGGAGCTTGTGTACGTTATTCAAGGGAATGCAGTTTTGTTTACAAGGAAGTTACTGAAAGTCTCCTAGCATTCTAACAGTCTGGTGGACAAGATGACTCATCTTCACAGTGGATATATTTCGGGGGAACAAATTGCAGTGGAACTGTATAGATGAGTCTTGTTTGAGCTGACTTAACCTGTCGTCTTACTGATGAGTAGAAATTATTGTTCTGGACATGGAACATTTCTGGTTAAGTGATGTGCCATGTTCATAGTGTAACAGTGGTCGGTTCCGATTGAAAGCAAACAGGCAGTTCACCGGCAGCCGACGGCCTGGTATTGTTTCAATTTTCACGATCGATCATAACAATGTCATTCATGTTGCTTGTACGCAAGACGACCAGCACTTATTAAATATTGTTGGTTTTAATCCACGCGTCGCTCCCTTTATGTAGCTGACTACCGGCAAACATTGTGGTGAGTATTTTTGGCGGCTTATCATCCCCACGAAGCAGATCATCGATGGCAAAAGTAGACGTAGATATAGTGGGAACAATCGATCCTGGTCAGTCTTAGTCAATACTTTGCGAAAGATTTGAGAGGTTTGGAGCGGTTGTCCTTCTACTTACTCTCAGCTTTTTCAAATTTGGCGCGCAACGTCAAACAAAACAATCACCAAAATACTTCAGACCCATAAAACAAACCATCCACAGCAAAGCCTCGTTTATCTTGTGATTTACGTGAGTCTCACTAGAATAAATCAAAATTGTTTCCGGGGAAGCCCGTCCTACGACAGGCTTTGTGGAGTAAAGCGGTTTTAAAGAGCCTCTTTTTCAGATGCTTTAAAGATAATCTAACTAAACTTTCCGGACGTTTTCACTTGTCAACTTAAACAAAATAAACTCCGTCCACCGCTACACGAAGTCTTTTTCTCTACACAAGGGACCGTAATGTTTCCGTCAGAATCGTACTCATGCACAAGTTGATGATTTGTGATCCGTGAACTCCACTTTTCTCTAAACAACCGTACATTGCCATCTCATGGGCGAATGATCAATTGCTGGCTTTATGTGAGTGCGTCGACGTATTTGAATGAGAGTGTGCGTGGATGCGTTTGATTGTAAGTCATTGATAAAACTTGGTCAGTCACTCAGTCAGTCCATTTAAGCCCAATCCGGAATGACGAGATATTGGAAACTGTGAAGCGTGAGACACGAAGAGAAGGCCTTCACAGGGCAGAATGCGCGTGTCGTTTTCCGGAAGACCAGGGAAATAGGCGCTTGTTTACACAGCCCCGATGTTTTATCAACGTGATTAATTGAGACGCATGTTTTCTCTCGGGGAACATGTGGACGCATGCCTGGATGTGAACTCGGGATGTTTCAGTGAACTCACCAACTGATGGGAGAGGGAGCTGGCGATTTTGTTTGTGATGCTTTTGTGAGAGCATTGAACCTTTGCAACCTACACACTATCCTGTACTCTCTTCTAACCATTCAGGGAAAGTCGTTTGCTTATCCACACGGAATGGATGATTCTAACCAAAAAACAGTGTTACATTGAAGGTGACTGTACCCATCCGGCGATAAAGCAGTAGAAATAAACATAATTGGAAATTCTGCTGTGGCTGGCCAGTGCAAAACTTTGTAAGGTTTAAAGGACAGCGGTCATGGTAGCGGAATCCGTTGATAATTAACAGGAACTAATTGTGAGCTAGAAACTATTTTCCATTGTTCTAATTCGAGATACTCATATCCGTATATGTAACATTAAACTGAGTTGTTTCAGTCTTTCTTCCGAAATTAGTTTGCTTATTGTTTACAAAACAGTAATATATATCATATATTACTGTTGGATTACCGCATTACCTACAGTACATTCATAAGTTCTACTGGTCGCATTAGGCTAGTAAGCCTATCAAGGTCGATTCATTAAAACGTGAGGCGCAGGGTTACAAAGTATTTATTGACAATAGACGCCAAATTTCCCTAATAATTGATTTGGTTTGTGACCAGCTGACAGAACTTCCAGACGTAAAAATGAATTCTTCAAGGGAACGTGGTGAAAGAAAAGCATTTTAAGCTTCATGGGCTGTAAGGAGGAACAGCAAAATTGAATGTTTGAAATGAATATTTTCGCGGTTTATGACGCCAAGGACGCTTCCCATTCCTCTTCAAATACAAGGCCAATGAATGGTATTTTAGCTATTTCCGTCTTGGTTGGTTGTGAAACGTTGTATAAAAAGACTACCGCACGTACTTTGAACAATGAGTACTGACCGGAAACTTCGAAATGTTCGGGAAAGTTAGAAAATTCCAGGAACAGGCTGACATTGTCATTGAATAATGTTGGGGTAATAGTTTGACAAATTATCAGCAAGAATAGAAATCTTTGTCTTATAGAGTGAAATTCAGTGGCTCTGGCTGACTATTTTTTAATGATCGATCGATGGAGTTTCGCACTTGGATGTTTTGAACAAACATTCAACAAGCATTTGACACATTGTGTTTATCCAAATTTGGGACCTTTAAAGTACTCTCAAAGATGACAAAACATTATGCACTGAAAACATTTTGTGGTCAGATTACGAATGTGATTTTGCCACAATAATGGAGAAAGATTGACCGAAATGTTTTTGGAGGTTGTAACAAACGACTAAGATAAAACGGAAACATTTGATATTCCAGAGATTTAAATAGCTCATTGGATTTTATGGGCTTCTTGTTCCGGGCTTAGATATAGATGCGTACTTCTCACGTAAAAATAAAAGTGCATCTTCTTCAGTCGGTATGCCAGTGCTCACATAAAACCATTTCTTTTGCATGACAAAATGGACCCATAACAAATGCTCCAAAAATATGTGCGGAGAGAGTGGAAGAAAAGGAATGGTTCACTTCACGTATACATCGGTATACAGCCTTTTCATTTTGGATCCAATCTTTCATTGTTTTATAATTAAACCCATCTCATAATACATGATGCATGATGTAGTTACTTACAGCTACCGACAGCCCACGGCCTTTTTCATCCTCCTGGAATCTCGTCAGATGGGCTTGGTACCTGAGCTACCGTAAATCTTATATTTTATCTGAACCCGAATATGACAGTTCGTGAAATACGGTCATTCGCAAGCTAATTTGGTTTGAACGAAGGACGACTTGATCTTAGATAAATCTTTCCTCTACTATACTCTTTAACTGGTGTTATTGTAGAGGCCGAATCGTGCTTCATTTGGCCCAATATTTGATACATCACGGAACGCTGGCTGGATGGAACACACTATCTTAAAGTTGAGACTCAAGCTATCCTCCCTCTATAACCAACTTGGTTTCGACCAAGTTGGTTTTGTAAACTTCATAGAATGCTTAGTCATATCGCGGTCAGTTAGCTAGAATCTCGAGAGTGTGCCTATCTGGTAAGCCCCCGGAGGGGTGAAACCGGTCGTGGGGCACCACAAAATATTCAGCAAACTTGTGAGGTTCGGTAAGGGTGCCCTATGTGCGGCACATTCTACTAATGAATGTGCCATAAGGTCTTACTGGTCGGTGGAAAACCATTTTATCATTACCGAAATTTGGTGTAAAAACGTGCAGCATTAGATAGGTATTGCCATAACACAAACTACTTCGACTTTCTTACTTCTATGCTTGAAACACACTGTCACTCCGACGAAGAAGGTCACAATTTGCGTGCCCATCTATTCTTATATGATATAAAATTACCGGCGGCTATTCTCGGGAAATGAACCGAAGCTGCATTTGTTCCATTCTATTGTTTGATACAAATGAATCGAGATAAAACGCATTCATATTCTTCCATAATTATTTGCAATATGTTCATATACGCACAATGCCTGTATATTTAGCGTTCACATACACACAACCCTCTATTTCTTCTTGACGGTTATCTCCAACGGCCTGTCTGTAAGCCGAATAAACACAGTGGTCCATTTTCGGATATCATGTATCATAGTGGCCACTGGTCCCTTTCATTACGTTCTCTCTAACTGTCTTCTTGCGCATAACCGTTCCAACCATGTGTTGTCTGTTGTCTGTGTGTGGAACACTCACTCATATTCCCAACATTGTGTGCTCCTCTGGGAACAATTAGCAACAATCGCATTTGCAGTAAAAAAACGTTTGGTCCACATCGTTGTCCTCATTTTCCCTAATGGTGAAGACAGGTTTTTTATTTAGCAATTGTTATCTTTGAGCAGGAACTTAAAATGTAAATGCCTCCAGCTGTTCACGGAGTTGGAAGAAATGTAGTGTAAGTAATTAATGCATGCAAAACATACGGCGGGATCCAATATCAAAGATGCGAGGTTAACTGATGTGTTAGACTATGCCCACCGAATTCACTAAAAGTGATTATGAGTGACTTGAACACCGTGAGTGGCCTGCAGTTGTGTTGAACACTGACAAAATGTTGTTTTAATGACTCACTCTTTGGATCGTCGTAGGTGACCCTCGTCAGAAACAAAATAACCAAATAACAAATGACAGAAAAATCAAGGGTTAGATGCTATCTGTCGTTGTACGGCCGACTTTTAAGTGGTTGTGTAAACAGCAAGGTTGTGATAGTTGATAGTGTATGGGTTGATGCTGAAGTCAACTATCCAAGTGATTGTTCGGTGAAGAGCTCCGATCGCACGCTATGTGCGGATTGACCGTCATTTTGTTCGATCCAAGCAGGTTGTGCATGAGTTGTCAAACCAGCATCTTTCCGCATACCCTGCCAGGCCTTCGTGAGCTGGCAGTTTAGGATCCATCAATATGCGCAGAGTAACATATGAATCGCTTTTCAGATTTGGAGATCCCAACGCATTTCGGTGCAGAATGAGTGCATTATTTGTATTCTTCATGGAGGAACAATTAGACGCGCCACACGCTCGCGTTCTCCCAGTACTTTAAGCAGTGCCGTTTACACCGTCGTCAGTTTTCAGCACTACTCCACCAGAGCAAATCCGCATACTTCTTCCAAAGACTACTTAAAAATCGCCCGGTATTTCCACATCTTAAAAATGATGTACAAAATTAGCTCACTGAGAAAAATGCAAATAATGCGCGTATTTTGATTCTTTTGAAGTTCGGATAGTTTGGTAGTTTAGTCTATTAATTATTTCATGCACAATGTCGGCCTAAACTATTCCGTATAAAGATTTTATTCAAATAACCGACTTCCAGAAATCCAAACTTACTGTTAAAATACGTCACTATGCAGAGTTTTGTATAACATTTGTGATAGTGTTTACTGAACATTCATCTCAATGACAAACTCATGAAGGCATGTTTTCCCGTCCAGTCTACCAGAAGAAAACGACGGTGATTATTAGACTGTATTGGAACCCTTTAGTTCAGCCCACTCCATACCAGTTCTTGACGAGTTTTTAAGCTGATATATTTAATCCGGACTTCGCCTAGGCATACACAATCAAATGTTTCCGACAAAAATCTGACGGCAATTATCACAATTTAGAGATATGTTCATGATATATATAGTCTTTCGATAAAATGTAAACAAGTGATGGAATGGACGGCAAAAATGACTGTTCAGTAATAAAAACACAAAAGCACGATAACTAATATTTAACGGAAATAAGATCAATTTTAATAGGATGGCTTAATGTCTTTAAAAGGTCTGAGAGTATCCTGGCCGAGAGGCGCGTTTCTTATGGCCAAGAATGACTTAGAGTTTGCGCGAATCTTGAGTGACGGTATAGTATCGGCCGTCGAAATAGTGTCGCGATCGCTCTTGAGGTTGCTAAGCCAGGCCCTTGGAGTGACGCCATAAGTAACGCCGGAAGACTAGCCAGGAATGCGATGTGGTAGGTGTCAATAAAGTCTGTCACAAGTCGTAATACAAATCAAACAGTCAAATCAAACACCGCTAATCATACATCTTTTTCACCATGTTATTTATGAAATCCTACGGTGCCCTGCAAAATTGACGTGATGCTTTGCGAGTTACTAATCCATATCAAAGGATGAAAAGTCTAACTGACTTAGTATTGTACTAGACACACTACAAATAGCGTCTTTGATTGTACCAACTTCTTTCCCATATGATATGGGATTTTAAACTCACTTGAAAACTTTCGCTGTAAACTTCTGATGAAACGCCCTCTGAATCTATTTTTGGTGAACTTGTGTGTTTCAAATTTATAAGTAAGTGGTTGTTAGGCAGTTTATCATTTAGTTGAGTTTCATAATCAGACTCAGAATTGTGACCAGTCATATCGAACTTATCTACTGACATATGCAACACCTTATTTAACATCACTACACAGTCACTGATTTTGATCTGACTGAATTTCCCCAAG